TGGGTCGTGCTCCAGCACGTACCCTCTGGGACGCACGGAGGAAGGAGATGAGGGAGGATGCGTGCTGCTCCCTGGGGTCGTGCTCCGGCACGTACCCTCTGGGACGCACGGAGGATGGAGATGAGGGAGGATGCGTGCTGCTCCCGTGGGTCGTGCTCCGGCACGTACCCTCTGGGACGCACGGAGGAAGGAGAGGAGGGAGGATTCGTGCTGCTCCTGGGGGTCGTGCTCGGGCACGTGCCCTCTTGGACGCACGGTCCTCCCCCTCCTCCTCCTCCTCCTCCTCCTCCTTGGAATTAGTTTCGCAATGTGGACCCCCAGATTTGGACGCCCGTCCTCCTCCTCCTCCTCCTCCTCCTCCTCCTGCTCCTCCTCCTCTTCGGGCAGGGGATCCTCGGATCGGGTCGCCTCCACGGGCGCGAAGAGAGCCGCGCGTCGCGCACCGCGGCTTTCGTCGGAGAGGCGTCAATTTTTCCCAGGGCGGCGGCGCGAGGACGAGGAGGTGGCCGCGCACGGCGGGGGCCCGACGCGCGAGGAGGGGCGGTCCAGGGCAGAGTCGGGCTTGTCCATCTACAGGAGGAATACTTCGAGGGTGGACAGAATCCCCAACAGTGGCACGTCGACTCGTGGATTTTCCGTCTTCGGTTCTCGAGATGGCGCCGTGGCCGTCATTTTCCAGGCTTGCGCCCGCCAGGTTTGGGCCTCAGATCGTTTTCGCTACACCACGTTTTACTACAGGGGGGTATGTCCATCCCCGAATATTCAAAAGTAACCCAAACATAGTCTGGGGACGATGTTTTGACTATTGTGGGGCATATAGGGAGTAATGTTTGAGTTGTTCTGTTTTAGTGTTTGGGGGCATTCGGTGAGTAATGTTTGGCTTGTTTATGCAGCCCAGAAGCCCCCTGTAGGGGGGCGGGCCCGATTTCAAATCCAGGAGCATGGAGAGCAGGTGCGGGAGGGATGCAAACGAGTAGTGTTGGAATTGTTTTTTTTGTAGCCCAGAAGCCCCCAGTAGGGGGGGGCGGGCCCGACTTCAAGTCCACGAGCACGGGGGAGCAAGTTCGGGAGGGATGCGGGCAGGAGCGCCACGCATCCTGCACAGGCCTCGAGGGCAGGAGCGCAGCCGGGCCAGGCAAGACGTGGCGAGCAGGGCCCTCCCTCTCGCCTCGGGACTGGCCCGGGCGTTCCTGCCGCCCGCTCCTCGTGCCTGGGTCGGGGGAGCCGGCTCGTGGCCGAGGCGCACCGCGGCCGGGAAAGAAGAACCCCCCTGCGCGCCTGCTTTCGAGCCACTCTTGTCAGGGGGCCACCTTCGAATCCTGCCCCCTAGCCCCCACGATGTCTGAAGGGGGAGCGAAGTTAGCCCCACCCTCCCCCTCAGAAGCCGTGGGGGGCAGGGGCAGGGTTCGCATGTGGCCCCCTATTTGTGGCAGCGCGAGGGCTGCAAGCTCTCAGAGGTGCTTCGGGTCGGCGCTGGACCGCCTGCAGTGCCGTCCCTGGCGCGCTCCACGCGCCGGGGCTGGTGGAGCGGGGAGGGAAGTCTGGCGCCAGGCTCGGAGGATCCGCGCGGCCTGCACGAGTTTGCGGTTGTGTCGTGGCATCTGCTGGCCTTCGGCCCATCCCGCCACCGTACCTGGGCGGTAGGTCGGAGGCGTCTCGGGGCCTTCTTGGCCCGTGTTGGGACGCTCGCGGCTCTGAGAAAAGTCATGCAGGAAACGCTGGGTAACCGCGGGAAGCACAAGGGGATCCCAGGAGCATTTGAAAGTTTGGAGTCCATGCCCCTCAATATTCATTCCTGAGGACAGGGGACTTTGGACTACAGGCGAGGGTGCTCCAATTCGTGCCTCGCTGCACGGTGGCGGATGTTCCACTTTGGGCAGATGGCGGCGTGGCGTGAGAGGGACTGGGTTCTACGGAGGCGGCGGGTTTTTTTTCGAAGCCCCCGCGGCTCTGAGAAACC